TAATTTGCAAATAAATTCATTAAAAAATCCTACAATGTGATTTTCTGGAATTATTTTTCTCATTTTGTCTGTCATAGTTGACGTGTACCTATGATGAAAATTACAGGCCTATCTCATCTTTTTAAGTGGGAGAACTTGCACAATTGGTGGCTGACTAAATACTTTTTTTCCCCACTGTATCATACTTTGACTAAAACAATGACTTATTAGCTAGGTTTCCATCCAATTGGCGACAGATTTTCATGCACATTTTCTAAAATCCGCATAAATAAAATATGCACATTTTCCCACCAGAGATGTGTTTGCATAAAATGGACTTGTTGCGGATAAAAGTATGTGCATGATGATGTAGTGCACATACAAATAACCTTTGCAGTTAAATTCCCATATACTGAATAAAAAATACAAGTTTAATGGGTTTCCATCGCATTTTCAACTCACTGATGGTTTTGTCACAAAAAATCTTGCTTTATATAGCAAATGTGCCCACTCTGGTATTGGCACGTGCGCTCTAGCTAACAGCTCGCAGATGCAGTGTGGGTATATGCAGTATGCAGTACAGCCTAGGCTATATGATGACATTATTATGGACAAAAGAGCGAGATTACAGTATTTAAATTTGGTCAAACGGCAGCCAAGAATCGATCCTCATGTCACCAGAATAAGACCAGAATAAGACATATATTGGAAAGGAGCATCAAGCTCATCACCTTGCACTTTCACCACCTTGTGAAGTTTATCATAACTTATTTTGTCTGTAGCCTAAAAAACTGTATGCTTTCCCGAGTATCATATTACTTTGATATGATCGCTAATATGTCAATATTTTTGCATGAAAGTATTTCCACCGATATAATTAAGTTAACGACACAAAAATATCCCACTTTGTCTAGCGTATTTTTTTTTTTTGACATTTAGAAGGTTTACCGACAAATGTTCTGTTTCCATCAGGACTGTCATGAAATTTTTTAGCAGACGTACTTTACTCGCATAAAAAGGTTAGTGACTTAAATCGTTGTGCAACATCATTAGTAAGCTCTGGGCACCGTCTTTCAGTTGAAAGAAAGTGAATTTCCGCTGTTGTGGTACTTTAATGTGTTTTTGTATTATTAGTATAATATTATACTGTAAGTATGTATGTGACAATTTCTGCTTGATTAACAGAGATCTTACTATAAAGCCAAAACAACATTTCAAATAGACAGGACTCATCTTACAGACTTAAAAAAGAGTGGCATACATCCCAATGAAAGTATTGGGACTGGAAGCACTTCAGTGTGGTCCTTTGTAGCTCAGTTGGTAGAGCATGGTTGTAAGGCCAGGGTAGTGGGTTCAATTCCCGGGACCACCCATAAGTAAAACATATGCACGCATGATTGTAAGTTGCTTTGGGATAAAAGTGTCTGCTAAATGGCATAAATTAATGTTTTCAGAACTGTTTTTGGACAGAGAATGTCATTTAGTTTACACAATGTTTTCAATACAGAGAAAGGTGGCCTTTCAATACAAGTGTCGAGCTCCTTTTGTGACGTCAATGTTCATACTATCTAGATGAGTTCACAGCTCGATGCGTGTGAGAGAGGAGACAAAGTGTGTTCCCATCAAAGTAGTTGCATAAGAAGGTATTTTCCCTGAAGAGCCACCAGAGCAGCACACATGCTCCATAAATGATTTCTACTGTGAAGAACACAGTGCCCTGGGTCAGCTTGAGATGTTGTCACTGCCAAACACACACACACACACACACACACACACACACACACACACATACTGTACGCATACACATGTATTCACCATACAACAACATCTGAGGCTATCCAGGATTTGTCTTTGAACAGCAGCAGCTACAGTAACAGCATGTGTTCACCCTGAGTTAAGGACCTTGTGGTTTCAGTGTTTTAAAACACCCTGATGAAAAACGTTGGGTTTAGTTCCTCTTATCTGTCATACATTTACTGTTGATTGTTACAGTAATGTCTATAACAGCACATGCCTCCTCAACCTGTCAGACTTCCCTCAGACTTCCCGTGCCCAGCTCCTGCCACACCTATAGGGAGATCCTTCATCCAGACTTGGCACGCACACACTCTCTTTGATCCTGGCATGTACGCTCAAGAGATAATATCTTCCCCAGTCAAGATGACAATAAACCTGTTTCCCAAAATTACAGTACCCAGCTACCTCTTTGTATGGACTGCACGCCCCACACACAATATCCCCTGCCTCCCCCTCTCTCTCTCCCCCAAAGGAGGGCACAGGAGATGACACGTGCTGATTTCCTGTCTACTGTAACCAGAGCACCTAGGCTTTATTGGTACCAGAAGCAACTTCCACCGACTCGAGTTTGCTCGTTAAAGTTTTCCCTCCATGCAAGGCTGATTGGGGCACTGTCCATTTCTGCTTCCCGCTGAAGGTTGCTACTGTACTGTACCGAAGCAATGTTGTTCGCCCTTAACTATACATATAGGTGGAAAAAGTTAGTGTTTTTGGCAATGTTATGTGCTGTAACTAGATAGTTACACACAGGTGTAAACAGCTACTTTTCCAGTGATGTTGCTGATACATAGACTTTATTGTTTTCTTTCATGACTTCAATGTTTACTGTTTAGTGCAGATTTCACTTGGACATAACAGGTTTACCAGAAACCTACAGTTTCCCACTGTACCGTATCAGTGTACGTACTAGCTACGCTTTGAGGCTGAACTTCATGTCATGGCTCAGAGCTGTAAGGTCATGGAAATGAGTTTGGAGCACGGAACCATAGGCCCTTCTGATCTGGGTGGGGTTTCAACATTTCAAAGCACAGAGAGGCAGGGTGTGCGGGGACTAGAGGGAGTGATAGGGATCTGTCAGGATGCACGAAAGGAGCAACAGACGGATGGCGGAAGAAGGCACTTGGGATGAGTGGGACCTGGTGTATTCATGACATCTGAAGTGGACTGGGGTTACGGAAGGTGTATCTAAAGGCAGGCCAGACACACACAGGCGAACATATGTCTGCACCTGGTTAGATACAGAAAATGAACTTCATATAGGAAGTTCAGGGCAAACTTTTGCCAAGCTTGTCCATGGTGGATCATTCTCATCCACACATATGCACCACTGAGCTAAACTCTGGCAGCTTTCTCCCTCCTTCTCTTTGGGTGAGCAACAACCTCCCAGCACCAGGCCATACATAAGTACATAAGGAACACATAATTTCCCCTGAAGACGCATGCACTGTCTGTCAGTCTAGCCGTCGGGGCCAAAACCGGGCCGAGAAATGATTTAACGCAGCATGCAAAGCCTTGTACTTAGGAAAACAAATATACACACCGCCACTGTGTGTAACAGCTGAGAGCTGAGTAGCCTGCAGTCTTTCTTCTTTCAGAAAGAAATCAGCGATTCAGAGTGACACGCATCTATCAGAGGGCCACTGAGCGTGGCTACCGGGCTCGCTTGTTGACTTTTATAGCCCCGCGCCCCACGGGCTGTCGGATGGCATGGCCCACGCTCTGTTTGATTTTCTTTCCTAGTTTTTTTTCTTCTCTCCGTCAGTTTTATCATGTCGGTTGCACAGTGTGCCGATTGTGCAGGAGGGGAACTTACTCCATCCAGAATGAATGTGGAGGTGGCGCTCCATTGAGATGTCTTGCACTCTGAGAATGTGCAAACGGCACGTGGGATAGAGGGAGAGACAGACAGACAGAGACAGATAGACAGACAGAGAGAGAGAGACAGAAGGAGATAGAGACAGAGAGAGTGTGAGAGAGAATACGAAAAAGAACGAGGCACATAAATAGGATGAGAGACAGACGGCGAGAAAGAGAGAGTAGGAAAGAGAGAGAGAGACGGACAGAAAGGAGAGGAAGAAGGCAGACAGTGTTTCTTTGTACTGTGTGCTTTGCTTTCGTCACCAGCTCTGTTCCCTTCACTAAAGACCTCAGACAGTTTGTTAATGGATTATGTCTGCTGTCAATTTGATCCTAGTGAATGATGTCTGAACCCAATAACACAGGGAGGTGCAACGCTTTAGATATGCATCTTATGGCAAATGCCATGGCTTAGAATTAACATTTCAGAACAAATAATGGACACTAATGCATAAATTGGCCAAACCTCAATTTTACACCCTAAGGGCAGCCCTTATTTAATTATATGAAACAGATTCAAAGTCATCACACATCTGCTGTTTTATTTAATTAAAATACCATACAGACACGAGATAGAATTAAATTAAGCATTAAGACAATTTGGGGGTTGATAAGTGTTAATAATTATACAAATCTGCCTCCTTGCACATTTTACATTTGTTTCTTGGCCAATTCATCTGTACTGCTAGCTTAATCTTTTCTTTGAGGAAGCTGTAAGATGTTAGGGTTAGGGTTAGCCATATATAGATACATATAGAAGACCAGTGTTTGAGGGACTGCTTTTGTAAGTTTAAACATATGTTCTTGCTTTCCCATGGAACACATGCATGCACGTTCACACATGCACACACACACACACACACACACACACACACACACACACACACACACACACACACACACACACACACACACCACACCACACCACACACGTCACATACCATCCACACAGTCAGTCTATCCAGCAGCAGCTACAGTAAGTCGGCCATGCTTCATGTAGGATTATAGTCATGGTCCCCAGTGGATTCAATGTACCACTCCTGTCTTTGTGTAGCACAACATAATGTTCACACAGTAACACCATGGGATACTTATTTTAGCTGGGTTAATTGGTGAATTGGGCTTAGAGCTAGCAACCAGCAACGCATATTACAGTAAACCTTTTAATGGTGAGCCAGGTGATTTCTCAGGGGATGGATGCTGCCCAGCAATCTCTGACGCAACCCCGGTCCAGAGCCCTAGAGAGCCCCAGTTTTTTATTATGGATCCCAGGCAGACTACAGGATAACATTAGTAGCAGTCCTTTCATGCCGCAAATAATCACCAGCATATGATGCTGAAACCCAGGCATTTAGCACATTAGAACGATGTATGTGCACGGGCAGGGAGCTATGGATAGAGCTTCCATCTCGCTGGCATCTAAGACAGTGTGGTCCCTCAGGTAACTCACCATTTACTAGAAGAGGAGGAGAAAAGAACATGAGAGAAGAGGAGGAGGGGGAAAAAAGCGTCTGGCTAGTAAAAACAAGGAAACAATCACCATAGTTTTGTTCCGAGTCCCAGAAGTGCAGTGTGCGCAGGCAGCAACTCACACACCAAAGCCCATACAGTAGCTAACAGCTCTGTGCTGTGCTCTCGGCGAGGAACTACAAGGAAGGGCATGTTTCCCTCACACTATAAACCCACTCCAAACCACACTCCTCGTCAGGCTCGCGGCCAGTGACATAAGCATGTGGTAACATAAAAAAAGCCCCGAATGGCGTTCCGACGTTCTCTCGTTTCAATTATCATTAAGGGGACCATCTGGAAACCCCATCAGGTTGGGTTCTGGAGGTTTCAGCAGCCCCCATTTACATTTCGAGCTGTTAACACATAGGTTTTGGCCACAGGGATGAGTGTTGGATGTGTTGAGTGAGGGACATTTATGTGCCAGTGGCAGCCTGACAGAGAAGGCCATGCCCGAGAAATCCATCACCATCTGAATCCATCTGCGATCGGCTGGTTGGCCTGGCACTGGTGCACCCACCCACCCTGGTTCTGTGGTCGCAGCACCAGCCACTGCTTAGGTCTTGACAGATGAGATCAGGGGAGTAGGTAGACCACACTATTACCTTGCCCTCAGCTCACTCGCTGGGCTGCGGCTAGTGCACGGCCGCCTCTCAGTAGGCCGTATAAGCCCCGTTATTAGCTCAGCAGCCAATGGGACGGTGCGCCTGGCGGTAAGGGTGGGGCCCGGGGAGCTGTTTCTCCTTGGTGACAGGACATTACCTCACACGTCAGGCGCTTACCAGCATTCCGGTAAATGATGGCGGTCTGAACCTCGCACAGGACTCGACCCGCAAATGTCTCACAGATGCTCGCTTCTTCCGCCCTGATGGAGCTCTTATTTATGGTAACTTTCACAAAACAAAGAAAAATGAAAAGAAAAGAAGCCAAGCAGCTGTTTACTGGATGTGTTTTGATGAAATAAATAAACACATTTGGGAGCCGTGGCCAAATAAGAAACATCCGCTCCCCAAATGTGCTGCAATGTGTGTTGAATCCAGTGAACTTGGGGAGGGGCAGGCAGGCGGAGAGGAAACCAGAAGTAGTCAGCTAGGGCGGACAAGCTCCAACAAACGCTGTGTTCCAAAGCTGCACTTTTCATGACCAATCCTGAGAGGCCAAACGGGGTCACCCCTTGCCCTGAATAGGCCTTTCATAAGCTGCGTTTACAGTACACAGGAGCAGAATATGGACCGTTCTGTTGAGAAGCAACATAGATGTTTATGGCTTGATTAGGTGTCATTCATACTTATGAATGAAAATATTTGCAGAGAATGGTATACAAGTATGGGCTATTTTCAACTCATGAACTGAAGCAGACTTGTGTAGTCCAAGAGATGCTGCATGTGCTCTCCTCTGCAGGATGGCCATGAGGTTAGAGAGAGAGAGGAAGTGTGAGATCACCCTGCTGCCAGGCAACATATTGTGAGTGGGCTGCTCTTGGGTGGCTGAGGTTACTGTTGGGTTTGGGGTTACGCTTGGGGCCTCTCCCTCTCTCTCTCTTCCAGCTAGCCTGACTGTGTGTTTATAGCTATAGACCTGGGGTTGGGGTTGGTAGGATATGGTTGGGGCCCTCTCTCTTCCATCTTGACTGTGTGTGTGTCTTGGTCTAAGGCTGAGGTTGGCGTTGGGTTTGGTGTTATGGTCTGGGGCCTCTCTCTACTCCCAGCCTGGCTGTGTGTGTCTGGTTGTAGAGGTTGGTGTTATGGTCTGGGGCCTCTCTCTACTCCCAGCCTGGCTGTGTGTGTCTGGTTGTAGAGGTTGGTGTTATAGTCTGGGGCCTCTCTCTACTCCCAGCCTGGCTGTGTGTGTCTGGTTGTAGAGGTTGGTGTTATAGTCTGGGGCCTCTCTCTACTCCCAGCCTGGCTGTGGCTTCTCTCTGCAGAGGTGATCTAACTTCTACTACTGGCATCCGATATGCACCGCAGCGGGAAACGCCATGGTAGAGGCAAATTAAGCAATTAAGACCATCATTATTTCTCGGGCTCTGTGGTTTTTTCCCTCTCTCCCTCCTCCTTCCCTCTACATTTTTCATTTGGTGGGGGGGGGATCATTGTGAGAAACAGTGCTGATAGGCAGTCTGTCCTATTTGCTGCATTTGAGCGGGAGAATGGCCTCAATGGCCCTATCCCACCCTCTTTCTCTTTCTCTCTCTCTCTCACACACACACACACACAAAATGAGATTGCTCTTTTGGCTGCCTGTCTCCCCTCAGCTCTCCTTCCCTCCTTTTACCTTAAGTGGTGATTTAAAAACAACTGCGTGTATCTGCAGACCGGGGGCTCAATGTTGTCTGCCGTGCCGCCTTTCGTAAGCAGACAGCTGGTCTGAATTAAGGACCGTTGGAGGGGTAGAGGGGGGGAAACATAACAGTACCTTCCCCACTGTTGCTGCTGTGTTGTTCAGGGAACCATAGGCTTTAGGTTATTTGCTTGTAACTTCCAAACACCCAGTTTGAGCTGCGTAGAGGCTGAAGGGACACAGGGGGTGAAGTGGGGGTGGAATGGAGGGGACGAGAGGGTGGTGCACTATTGGTGATTGAGGATGAGAGGGACGCGGGATAGACGGGTGCCGTCCCTCCCTTTCTCCTTCTGTTTACTTGTCTAGCAAGCCCCCCTTGAGAAATGAGAGTAGAAGGGGTCTGCGACCACATGGCCTTGTCTTTAGGCTCTCTCTCTCTCTCTCTCTCTCTCTCTCTCTCTCTCTCTCTCTCTCTCTCTCTCTCTCTCTCTCTCTCTCTCTCTCTCTCTCGCTCTCGCTCTTTCTCTCTCGCTCTTTCTCTCGTCCTCTCTCTTGCAACACAGAGACCTAAAATAGACTCTGGGACTGTCTTTTGTCAACATATCGTGCGATAATGTTGTAGCTGTAGTCAAGCAATTCAGTTGATCGGCGCGGGCAGAGGGCTTTTTTACTGCCATAACAAAGTGAACAAAAAAGCTTCTAAGTTTAGACTCCAGTGTGTTGTTTCTTCTTTCTCCTTTCCCTTTTCCGACCCTCTCAAGTTGCGGTCTCCAACGATTTATTGTCCGGCATTTGTTTTATTGGTTTATTTTTCCCTGTGTGTTGCTTATGTTAGAGACCTTGCTTGGCTGCTCAGTTGTGGTTCGCTCCGTGATGCAAGGCCCCTGCTATGTGGTCCTCTGTGGGCTCCTGCTTTAGACCCTCCTCACCCCCCACCCCAACCTTAAACGCACATATGTACACACACACACACACACACACACACACAGGATCAGTCCTTGGGGGAGGTTGGGGATGTATTTACAACCTCTTAATGACCAAATCAAATGAATGACGAATCTTACTTGGACTAGTTTGACTCTTGCCATTGTACAGGAGGAGGCTGGGGAGTAATATAACTTTGGAGGCTCGTGAATCCCTGCTACCGGCATTGCTCTTTATGGGTGTTTGGTAGAGGGCAAGTTTTGACTTGCGATTACAGTGCGCTAGCTATGTCTGTCGAAAACTGTGGGGTGTTCTAAAAACACCCGGGGGGGACGACGACGACGACGACTCAGTGCTACCTGTGTTTGCATAAATAAGTCATTGGTTGGCTGTCACCTGTGCAATATTCACTCGCCGCTTAGTTTCCACCACTGCGTCTGGTTCGTCTAGCTCTGGGTGTCTCTGGTTACAGGTGTCTGATTTCACTGGCATCAGGCAATGGGCGAAACTGGCTGTCCTTGTGCCTGTGTCTGTACTCTCTCCCCCCAGGTAGGCAGGTAGCCTTTCGGGTAGGAGCGTTGGGCCAGTTACCGAAAGGTTGCTGGATTGAATCCGGAGCTGATAAGGTAAAAATCTGTCGCTCTGCCCCTGAGAAAGGCAGTTAACTGTTCCCTGGGCGCCGATGATGTGGATGTCGATTAAGGCAGCCCCCTGCACCTCTCTGATTCAGAGGGGTTGTGTTAAATGAGGAAGACACATTTCAGTTCAATGCATTCAGTTGTACAACTGACTAGGTATCCCCCTTTCCTTTCCCTTTCCCATTGCTATCTCCAACATGGTTCACCAGCTTCTACTGGTCACGGATAGCCTCTCTGCTCTGTGAAGAGAGACAACAAACAACACAAACAGCCTCCCCTCTGTGCCCGTCCCTAACTAAGCAGCCCTCATACAGAGGATGGTAGAGAGGATGAAGTAGAGCTGTCAGAGGCATGGAAGTGTTTAAGCCTTATGAGTTGACATCTGGCTCTCTGGTTCTGAGTCTGATAAACATTAAAGAGAGGAGAATTAGAGGTGGGATAGAGAGAGAAAGAGAGTGGAGGGATAGAGAGAGGGGATTGGGGAGAGAGAATGAACGAGTGATGGAGAGAAAGATGAAAAGGAGTAATGGAGAGTGAGATATTTAGAGAGAAAGAAAGCGAGAGGATCAAAAGCGCCCCTCTCCCCAGACTGCCTGTTTTTTCACAGCGTTAACTTGCTTAGCGTGTTACACTGCCCCTCCATGTGTGCCGTATCAACTCAGCCTTGTTTTCCCTAGCAACTTCCTCACACTATTACATAACTCCAGGAATGACCCTGTTGGCAGGGCTTTGAACACATCTCAACCTTTGAGGCAACACAATAACAAAAGCATCAGAAAAAAATGCACTTTCTAATGATGCCAATTAACATTGATTTGGTTCATATCCGAAAAGGAACATGCAAACTATCTTGTTTCAAATTATCTGACATTTTCAGAAACATGTTGTTTACACGAAATGTGTGCAATTTCTATGTACAAATGTTACAAAAATATTTGGTGTCACTACCAATCTTTCTCTATCTCTCTCTCTCTCTCTCTCTGTCTCTCTCTCTGTGTGTCTCTGTGTGTGTCATCAGACATGCCAGTCCAAGGTGTTTGACCTGTCTGACGGAGTTTCCCAGTACGCCTGGTTCCCCTGCAGAGAGGCCCTACAGTCCTCCTGGTACCCCCAGTACTGGCTCAAGGTAGGTCACAGGCCAAAGGTTATAGGTCAGGGGTCATGGGATATGGGTGGGCAAAGACTGAGACTGACCCCTGTGGACACAAATCAAAGATGTCTTTTGAAGATTTATGCAAAAGCTGAAGTTACATAAACATATCTCCAGTTAGTAATATGCCCTATATGAATGTGTTGAGAGTTTAGGGCACTAAATGTGACTGTTCCCTTCTCACCCAGGCCTACTTCTCCCACCCCATGGTGGCTGCTGCTGTGATAATCCACTTAGCTGCAGACGGTACGGGCTACATCGACCAGACGCAGTGCAACATCACCGTTCAACTGGTGGACACCAAGGAGGTCATCCATAGCTTAGGTCCGTAGATACAACCTATGGAACTGTGGAAGCTTGGAAAGATCTCTTAAGAATCTCATATGAGCTATATCTCTGTCTTCCCACATCCCTCTTTGGCCCTCCTTTCTCTGTCTCTTTCCTTCCCCCCATCCCTCTCACTGTTCCCTCCTTCTAGGCGATTGGCGTCTGAGCTGCAGGACCAACCCTCTGGTAATCCCAGTGAGCCATGACCTGAGCGTGGCCTTCTACCACACCAAGGCCATTCTGGTCGAGTTCCGCTCCCACCTGGTGGCCATCTCTGGTGTGGGCCTGCGCTCCTTCCAGTTCTTTGACCCAATCACCATCAGCGGGTGCCAGAGCAACGAGATCTACAACCCAATGGGTCAGAGGTGAGGAGGGGGCAGGGGGCGCAAGGGGAGACATACAAAAGATCACTGTTATGCATATAGAAGTAAACGTGTAGGGAAATGTGAACATGAGCATGTGTATAACTGTGCATACACGCAAGTGAATGTACGAACACACACACACACATGGGCGCACACACAGGCCTCAGAATTTGTCAGGGGGCTGTCATGAGAAATAGGGCCATTTGTGGCTTTTGTTGTTTGCTAGTGAAGCAAACGAGAAAAGCTAATTGGATGAGGAGGATTTAAGTATCTGCTCTAAACAGGAAGTTGTTTGATGCCACAAAGAGAAGTTGCCCTCTCCAGAGTTGTCTTTGGCTCTGTGACCCATACCACTGAGCTGTCAAACTCAACAATTCACTTGGTGTTATTCAGCTGATATGTGTGGTGGCAATTCTTCGGTTTCCTATAGACCAGGGATGGGCAACTGGCAGCCCCTTTTTGTAGGCCCGTGGATCAATTCACAAGGTGCAAACATAAGGTGCAATTTTCTAAATTTGGTTGTGCATCAGCAGTTTTTCTCTTGTTATGTCATCATTGACAGTCACTCAATTATCCCATGTCAGCTATTTATTTATTTATTGGTAAGTTAGTCTAGACAGATATACAAACTTGTAGTAATCACTGTCAAATTACCGACACTGCAGGCCCTCATGATGAATTCAGATTTTTTGTGGCACCCACCCCATCAACGTTGTCCATCCCTGCTATAGAAGATTTAAGTACTAAGTTCAGATGTAGTAGATTTACTTAGCAAACATTCTGTAGGCTGTTCAAGCTCCTAAACCAACTAGCATGCCAGACATGTAGCTCCTTTCATTGTCATAGTAAAGAAATCCTCCCTTGTCCATACAAGTTTGAATCAATAGTAAATTAACTACATCTCTCTTGCAAAACACATTTGATCTCAATGAGACTAAACCTGGGATGAATTAAGGGTCAAACCACTCTAAAAATGCGCTAGTGCACATTTCATGCCCTTCGGTTGCGCTAAAACTGGGGTGCATCCCAAATGGCACCCTATTCCCTACATAGTGCACTATGGACCCTGGTCAAAAGAAGTGCACTATATAGGGAATAGGGTGGCATTTGGGACGCAGTCCTGGATTTGACTGTTCCAGCAGCAGAGCTCTCTGGTGGGAGGCTGGAGGTGGGAGTTTCCATGCCGACCCAGAGGAACAGCTCATTCATTAGTAATTAATAATTGCCAAGTATTACGGCTCCTTGTATTGACATATTTGGGGTTTGTTGTGCTCAGCGGGAGCCGTATCCAAAGTGGTTTTGTAAATATGATCTATTTGGCAGCTCCCTGCTTCAACTGCTCCCGCCTGAGCCTCTAGAAGGGATTTATTGCAGGGATTCTTAAGCTAGAGCATTTCTCCTCCTCTTTCTCCTCATACTCCCTTACCTTCATTTCTCCTCCTCCTCATCTTATTCCCGATCCTCCTCTCTTCTCCTCCCTCTCCTTCTATCTCTCTTCGCTCCCTGCCTTCTCCCTCTCCTCCTCTGCTTCCTCTTCCCTCTCCTCTTCCACCTCTTCTCATCCATGTTCTCTTCTCCCCTCTTCTCCTACTCCCTCAACTTCTCCCCCTCTTTGCTCTCTTCCTCCCTTTCCTCCTCTCTCTCTCCAGCCAAACAGCTGATTTCCCGTAATAATTCTGCCTCTACAAAACACCAAGTCCCTTATTCCCTAAGTTGTTAACAACAGGAGCTATTAACGTGACCCGGTTTTATGTTCCACACTCTTGTTTTTTTCCTTCTTTCTCTTCCTTCCCTGCGCCATCCCTTCTTTCAAATGCAAAGATTTGAGGGGTACTGGCAGATTGTTGGACTGTGAGTGTGGAGGCTCTAGAGTCTTTTTCCACATTTGTCCTAGTCTCCAGTGAAGGTTCAGATTTTGAGTGATGGGACACTGGAAGGGAGATAGTGACCTCGTCATAGCCCCTTCTAGTAGTCTTCAGACTATTGATCATTTTTCAAGTGTTTAAAAAATTCTCAAGGAGACGGAGCTGAAACCGCACTTATAACTCAATACATACCTTATGGCTCATGTAATGTAAAGTGGCATGAAAACAACTCAGTGTTAAGCTGTCTATAAAGCCAGTTTCTTTCCACCTTCTCAGCTAAGGATCCTAAAATGTAAACACCGTAGCTCAAGCAGGGAGTTTGGATTTGTAGTGAGTGTCGGTTTGTGTTTGCTCTGCCTTCTCTCTATACGTTTATAGGTTCACATTAGGCTTTCAGAGTTTGTTATTGAGGTGGAAGGAGAAAGAACGAGAGAGGGAGAAAAAGCACTACATTTACATTTTAGCAGACGGCTCTTATCCAGAGCGACTTACAGAAGCAATAAGGGTTAAGTGCCTTGCTCAAGGGCACATTGGCAGATGTTTTTGTTGTCTCTGGGATTCAAACCAGCTACCTTTCAGTTACTGACCCAACACTCTTACCCTGTAAGCTACCTGCCACCTATTAGAGGTATTAGGTTTGTAAGGGAGACAGAGAACGATAGAGTACCGAAAAGATGACAGACAGAGAGAGAGAGAGAGAGAGAGAGAGAGATGAGAGAGAGAGGAGAGAGATAGAGAGAGGAGCGAGCGAGATTATCTATCTCTCTAGAGCTCTATGGTCTCCTAGCTCCTCTCTCTCTCTATCTCTCTCTCTTCTATCTCTCTCTCTCTCGCTCTCTCTTCCTCGCTCCTTCTCTCCTCTCTCTCCTCTCTCTCTCTCTCTTCTCTCTTTATCTCTCTCTCTCCAGCTTTCTCTTTTAGAGATCTCTGTGCTTTTTTTCCCCTAATGTTCTCTCTTCTGCATCCCAAATGGCACCCAATTCCCTATATAGCACACTACTGGTCAAAAGTAGTGCGCTATATAGGGAATACAGCAGGCAGACTGTTGTTAAAGACAGCCTCAGGCGTCCCGGCATTCCTAGAACATTAAAAAGAGTCCTCTGACTGCTACCAACGTAGCGCTTGGCCAGACTCTGTCATTGTAGTCTGCTCACAATATCCCACTTCTCTTAATTCATTAACCACACTCCCACATGTGTGTGTGCAGACACATAGACACACACACACACACAAATCTGGACGCACAGACTCAAAAGCATGCCCACTACTTCTCTCTGACCATATATGAAACATTTCTTGATTGATTAATTCAGATTGTGTCTTGTGGGCTTTCAAATGCTGCTCCAGTGAGAGTACTGATACACAGCTACATGGCATGTATATATCTAGCCTAGCCAAGGCTACACCTTGTTGATAACTAGTAGCTACTCCACCAAACCTCAACCCAGTCTGAGCTGAGCAACTAGCCCCAGAGAATCTTACTTGCAAAGCAGCAGCCCTATACTGTAGTGTGCTGACTAAAGACATTCACTCCTCCCATTGTGTTGCTGGTTCTGGAAAGAGGAGATATAGCACATTCTATAGATAGCTGTGTGTTCTCCATGCTATAATGAAGACAGATGTGGAGGATGATATCTAGATGCCTGTACTGGATCACGTCTGGGATGATGATATGTGGGTATTGATTAATGGGTTGCGTCCCAAATGGCACCCTAATCCCTATATAGAGCACTACCTTGGACTAGAGCCCTGTGGCTACCGTGGTCTCACTTCTAGGGCAGCCAGGTGAATGCAGTGTGGCAGTGTGTGTTGAGACAGTGTGGTTGTGTTGAGACGTTGTGGTTGTGTTGAGACGTTGTGGTTGTGTTGAGACAGTGTGGTTGTGTTGAGACAGTGTGGTTGTGTGTGTGCTGAGACAGTGTGGTTGTGGTTGTGTTGAGACAGTGTGGTTGTGTGTGTGTTGAGACAGTGTGGTTGGGTTGTGTTGAGACAGTGTGGTTGTGGTTGTGTGTGTGTGTTGAGACAGTGTGGTTGTGGTTGTGTTGAGACTGTGGTTGTGGTTGTGTTGAGACAGTGTGGTTGTGTGTGTGTTGAGACAGTGTGGTTGTGTGTGTTGAGACAGTGTGGTTGTGGTTGTGTTGAGACCGTGTGGTTGTGTTGAGACAGTGTGGTTGTGTGTGTGTGTTGAGACAGTGTGGTTGTGGTTTTGTGTGTGTTGAGACAGTGTGGTTGTGTTGAGACAGTGTTTTTTGTGGTTGTGTTGAGACAGTGTGGTTGTGGTTGTGTTGAGACAGTGTGGTTGTGGTTGTGTTGAGACAGTGTGGTTATGTTGAGACAGTGTGGTTGTGTTGAGATGTTGTGGTTGTGTTGAGACAGTGTTTGGGTTTTGGTTTGTTGAGACAGTGTGGTTTTTGTGTGTGTTGAGACAGTGTGGTTGTGGTTTTGTTGTTTTTGAGACAGTGTGTTGTGTTGAGGACAGTGTTTTTTGTGGTTGTGTTGAGACAGTGTGGTTGTGGTTGTGTTGAGACAGTGTGGTTGTGGTTGTGTTGAGACAGTGTGGTTATGTTGAGACAGTGTGGTTGTGTTGAGATGTTGTGGTTGTGTTGAGACAGTGTGGTTGTGGTTATGTTGAGACAGTGTGGTTGTGGTTGTGTTGAGACAGTGTGGTTGCGGTTGTGTTGAGACAGTGTGGTTGCGGTTGTGTTGAGACAGTGTGGGCGGTTGGTTGAGACAGTGTTGGTTGTGGGTTTGTGAGACAGTGTTGTGGGGTTATGTTGAGACAGGTGTTGCGGTTAGTTGGAAGGTGGTTGTGTTGAGACAGTGTGGTTATGTTGAGACGGTGTGGTTGTGTTGAGACAGTGTTGTTGTGGTTATGTTGAGACAGTGTGGTTGTGGTTGTGTTGAGACAGTGTTTTTGTGGTTGTGTTGAGACAGTGTTTTTGTGGTTGTGTTGAGACAGTGTTGTTGTGGTTGTGTTGAGACAGTGTGGTTGTGTTGAGACTGTGGTTTTGTTGAGTGTGGTTGTGTTGAGACAGTGTGTTTGTGTTGAGAGTGTGGTTATATTGAGACAGTGTGGTTGTGTTGAGACAGTGTGGTTGTGTTTGTGTTGAGACGTTGTGGTTGTGTTGAGACGTTGTGGTTGTTTTGAGACAGTGTGGTTGTGTTGAGACTGTGGTTGTGTTGAGACAGTGTGGTTATGGTTGTGGTAAGACAGTGTGGTTGTGCTGAGACAGTGTGGTTGTGTTGAGACTGTGGTTGTGTTGAGACAGTGTGGTTGTGGTTGTGGTAAGACAGTGTGGTTGTGCTGAGACAGTGTGGTTGTGTGTGTTTGTACTTTATATTGTACTGTATGGGTGTTCTACCAACTGCATTTAAGTGGGCTGTGTCTGGCTGTGGATTTATCTACACTGTTATACTGATTATTTCTGTTTCATCTGTGTATGTTCTTCCCTACTCTAGTTGTATTATATATACAGTACAGCATACTCTATATGTGCAGTATATATTTAGCTACTATGTGCGTGCTTATACTGGTACTAAATAATTCACCCCTATGTTTTTGTGTACCCTCCCTTCTCTAGTTGTGTCCATTACTCGTGTGAGGCCAACGACTGCCAGGAGCCGCTAATCCGCAATGCAGAGCTCAAGTGTAGCAGTCTGGGCTTCTTCAATGGAGCTCGCTGCACCATCACCTGCAACTCTGGCTACGTCCTGCAGATCCACAGAGACGATGACATCATCAAGACCCAGGTATACACACACACACGGCAGATACACACACACACACACACACACACACGGCAGACACACACACACACACTAGCCATATTATTCACCTGCAACAGCAGCTTGGCAGTGTAAACCCACTGGGAGAATGACATCATGACAAGCCCAGGTAGCTAGCTAGTGCTGCACTGTGGAGAGTAGACGCATCGCCCCTCCTTCCTTCTCCCTGCTTTATGCACACACACACACACACACACACACACACACAAGATGTGCACACACACGCATGCACAGATACACATACGCTCACACACAGATATACACACTGACACACACAGATGGACAAAAACACACACATGCACACACACATGCACATTCACATGTATACACACACACATACATAAAATGACACACATACTCACATACTCGCACACAGACACACACACGCTATCTATGTTTAGTCTTTCTGCGCTGCACCATCACCTGCAACAATGGCTATGTGTTTCTGCTCCACTGGGACGATGACATCACCAGGTACTCTTTGCTCACTGCGCCCACTGGCGGGCCTTCCCTAATTCCTTCCGTCCATACGGCCTTCCCTTACCTTCGTACTCCTTCCTTTCGGAAGGAAGTCCTTCCTCTTCTTCTTCTTTTTCTTCTTTTCCTTCTTCCTTCCTTCCTCCTGCTCACCTCCCTCTTCCTCCTCCAATTCCTTCCTTCTCATCCTTCCTTCCTCCTCCTTCCTTCCTTCTTCCTTCTCGTCTTCCTTCAGTCCTTCCCTCGCCCCTCCCTCCTTCCTTCCTTTACTTCTCCTCCTTCATCCTCTCCTCTTTGCCTTCCTTCCTTCCTTCTTCCTTCCTTCCTTCCTTCCCTTCCCTTCCCTTCCTTCCTTCCTTCCTTCCCCTCCCCTCCCACCCCACTGACACAGTGAAGTCATCCTCACAGAGCACATATACAACAACTAGACACACCACTGTCCACATACTCCATGTCTTTCTAATGTCTGTATGTGTGTGTATTTTAATGGATATGTATGTGGTGTTTGCTGAGATGAATTACACTGCAACTACTTTGCATTACGACACTGTGTAGCGGGTAACAAAACATTTACCCTATGACATATGTGTTAACATTACTCACACTACTGGAGTAAGAGCTTTCTGCTTACCAAGAAGTCTCAGCATCCACTTCATGTAGTATCAACCCCCACACACCAGACACTCAACAGATGGGGAGCACAGTCATTGGCACACAAAACACCAAAACACAGAAGCATGCAGGCACACACAAACCACCCCAACCCATTCACTCCCACAGAGGGCTCGTAGTTAGTTAGTTCACAGCCACACAGTCAACCCATTCACTCCCACAGAGGGCTCGTAGTTAGTTAGTTCACAGCCACACAGTAAACCCATTCACTCCCACATAGGGCCCGTAAAGACAGCAGCACCTGAGCTTTATCCCTCTCCCAGGCTCTGTTAACAGACCTGCAAGCTAATCAATTAATGCCCCCTAAAACATACACTCACATAGAGAGACAGAGAGAGAGAGAGAGAGAGAGAGACAGAGAGAGAGAGACAGAGAGAGAGAGAGAGAGAGACCGAGAGAGAGAGAGAGAGACCAGAGGAATGATCCATGAGCTAAATGAGTTATTGTTTGTTAGAGAGAGAGAACACAAAAAAACGGTGAGAGAATGCAAGAAGACAGGGAAAGAGAGAGAGAGAAATGAGAGACGTAGAGTGAGCTGTATAGAATGATGTTTTGTTTTGGGTTTGGATTCCAGCCTCAGTACCGGAGCCCTCCCTCCTGTTTGCTCTGGTCAATAACATAATAGAGCACCACTTCAACTGGTTTTATGTTGGTGAGGATGAACATGTGGAAGTGGTTATAGTGGGGGATCTGACTGGCACAGGTGGCGGGGGGGAGAGCTTACTGTACACACACTCGCAGGCACACACTCGCAGGCACACACACACACACACTTGTTCTTTGTGTGTGTGTGTGTGTGTGTGTGTGTGTGTGTGTGTGTGTGTGCGCGTAATCAGACTTATACTCTACATACACTACTTAGGAGCATGTCCATATGGCTACCTGTTTGTGTGTATGATGTGTTTGTGGTCCGATGAGCCAAAAATACTGTATAAAATAAATAATTCAAATACTGAGCTATATTGTATGCTCAAAAAAGTTTGGAAATTATATTATTTTATACTAATTCAATTGCTCAGAGAAATACATTTTGTTTAGTATGTTAATTTTATTAATAAAAAAATAAAAAAAGTAGGGGTAAGAATGATTGACACCCTGTTTTCAATACTTTTCAATACCTCACCTTTTATGAGTTAGAGACCATTCAACAATACAGAATCCTTCCAGATCCTTGATATCTTTCATCTGCGCTTATGGACTGCCTTCTTTCTAATCTTACCTTTTTGAGAAAAAAAATATAAATGTTAAACAAAACCTATTTCTCTGAGAAATTGTATTAGTATAAAATAATATAATTTCCCAATTAGTTTTATGTACAATTTAACTCAGTATTTGAATTATTTATTTTATACAGTCATTATTGCTCATCTTTATCAAGAGGGTCAATAATTTCAGACCTGACTGTATGCTGTTTCCCTATTAGCATTTCAGCACTACGTCCATATGCGTATGCACCAACACATGCATGATATGGCTCATTTCAGTTGAACAGCATTTTGGTCTATGCAAAATGGCCCATTTGGGACACAAGCTGTTCAGGTATATTACACAACGAAACATGTTACTACCAGCCTATGATTGTGTGTCAACTCTGAGAGATTCACTTCATTACCATCTGACCATCACACTTGTAACGGCATTGCGTTTGATTGACAGGGCATAATGTTGATTAATATGTCAACGGTAACTTGCTTAGGGATGAAGGATTGAAGGATCTCCTTGAGAGGGT